AAGGAGGCCCCTGACGGGCTGGGGGGGGGGGGGCGCACTGTGACAAAACAGCCAAAGGCTGGTCGGCCACATGCCTCCCCCGTAAAAAATCTAACAGGCTGCCCCAGATCCTAGAGGGGCTGTCGCAGCCCAACCACATTTCAGCTGAGTTCTGCATGCGCTTGAAGGCTGAGCTGGAGGGTTGATTGAGGGTCAAAAGGAAAAAATACACTACAAATGGAAATAAAAAGGTCCATATTCCTTGCCGCTAGCAGATGGGGAGTTGGGCCACCAGCAGAGGCTGTCCCCTGGGTTCGGCTTTTTTTTCTGCCTAGGGTCCTACTCCTGCAGGTGGTGGTATGAGCCATCAGTACAAGATGAAGATGTCAGCTGTGTCCTTCAATGAACAGAAGAGAATTAAAAGAAGAAAAAACAGAAGACAGACAGGGTTATTCACAAAAGGGTGAAGAGTTTGGAGAGGGCAGGAGATGTGAACAATCTAGGACAACATAGCTGAACTGGTAAGTGAGCTGAATTGGAGAATTTTTCCAAATCAGATATTTTGGCCTAGATTGTTCACTTCTCCTGCCTTCTCCAAACTCTTCACCCTTTTGTGAATAACCCTGCTAGATACAAAATAAAACGTATGACCGAATACAAAGATACATAACACAAGACATAATAGAGTCATAATACAGTTACTACTAAGTCTTATGCTTGACAATATGGTAAAAATTTGATTGAATTCCTCCTAGTTGGTAGGAGGAATTCAAAGGAATACACTACGGAAAGTGAAACAAACAATAAGGCCATTTGATAAAGACCAAATTTGCAATGTCGACCTGTTTCATTACCTGCAAGAGAAATAAACCAGGTTGAAAAGATTAAGGAATTTGCTTCTCCTGTGAAGTTCACTGACCCAGCTGAGGGGCAGAAAGTGTACCTCAACATTGTCAATCTTGACAAAATCTAGAAAATAAAAAAAAATGGACAACACAAAGTTAAATATGCATACATAAATATACTCTACACATCACTAATCAGTTACGTTGTACAAAAACTGTTTCCAAACTGCTCATGCTTCTAAAAAGGGTTGGACCGCTGAAAAATGGTGATTCAGCAATATGTGGAGACTGGTAGGCTGATTCACCTGCTTGCTTCATATAGTTATTGAGACCCCTGCAAGATTTCCTCATCATAAAAACAAGTTTAGTTTAAACTGCATAAGATGGTGAGAGGTTTTAATTAAAAAACTAATGTATTTACATATCACCCTCAGAAAATAAATAAAAAGACTCATACCACATGATCTACTTCTTTACTCTGTAATGTGACAAACACTGCAAATTACTTTTTTAAGATTTACACGTACATTAAAACATGCACTAAAACAGCATTTTCATAAAGCCACAGTGCAACTCAAAGATATACTTCACTATATATATATTACCTATCTATAGATAGATATATCTATCTATAGAAATAGATCTATATATCTATAGATCTGTATAGATCGATCTATACAGATAGATCGATCTATATAGATATATATATATAACCCCATGTTTTTTCAGAATGAGACTAAGTATGCCAGATATAAAAATATGATTGGACTGGAAAAGCCTGCTGTGTTAGCTGATATGCAAGAGTTGGGGGTATCCAGCTGGAACTATAGTGAGGAGAAAGCTCATGCTTTGCATCACCTTAATTGTAATGCAGTAATTGGGAGGGGTGTTTTTGAGTAAGCTGAAGCCACGGACACAGATTACATTGGGAGAGCAGTTCTTCTTGTATAATCTGTGAGATTTAACTGTCAGTTTGACACTGGCTACTGTGTGACTACAGCCTGAAAGTACACACCCATAGAAAGGTTCTATTTCACTAATGTTAATAACTTCACCATTCTATGTGCCAGAAATAACTGTAGTGCCTACTAAAGAAACACATTGCAGAATAAAATGTTTATTTTTCATGAGCTATAAACTACCACAGTTCCTACATAAAGAATACATTTTGGTCATAATGTTAATTAAAAGCTGTCTCTGTTTTACCATGTGATTAGATAAAACTGGTTTAACTATGCAAGAACCACCCTCCCCATTCCATCCCATGGACCATAAAGTGGCCTGTCCACTGTAGATGCAGAATACAAGCATGATACCTCTCAGTTTGGGGGACTGGCACACTTTGGCATCTTTGATTGAGTGCCAAAGGACCTTGTTCCTGCACATATGCCAGATATTTAGACTAAAATTACTTGGAGTTTGGCTGAAATCTTTGCGATCTGTACCACCACCAGTTTGCTCAGTAGCTTCTTCCTCTTGGATAGTAGTTTCATTAACAGAACTAGCAGGTACATTACAAGCATTGTGGTCTTCAGCCCCATCTTTATTCAGTAATGGTAAAGAGTATTTCTGTCCAGTGACCAACTCATGAAACATTGATGTGATGTTGAATTTTGAAAGATCTTGAGCAGTCTATGCAAGAAAGAAAAGCACAACATACAACCGTTAGATGCATAAAACACTGAGCTTACCTGCTACCAATTATCCGTCAAACTGGAAATGGGAAAGAGTACTGAGGATGGGAGGCAACACCCTTTTTAGCCCACACCCTCCATAAGGGACCTTCACCACCCCCGTTTTAATTTTTTTTTTAGTTTTAGTTGTTTGCATTTAAGAATTTGATTTCTTTACCCTATACAGGCATCCCCACTGGAACACACAAACCATACATGTTGAAATCAGCTGATGTTCTAACTTCATAGCCAAGCAGCTGCTGTAGAATGTTGTTTAGACCAAACAGGAGCTTCCTTGGGTTGGACTATTTCTGCAAATGAGACAACTTCCAAGGAACAATGATGGAGAAGGCTCAATCACCAGAAAGCATCCATAAATGCAGCAGCCTGATATTCCATTATCACAATTTTAATCCTACTAACTACCCTCTGGGAGTGGAAGTCTATAAACCATGGTTCATATCATAATTACATATAAAGTTGTTTTGGCACAAGCAATTTTTATTGCATGTGACAACATCATAAATCTAGTAATCCCTGCCAAAACAAAGGAATCATTATTACATTATTACAATTGATCCACAGCTGGTGGGTTTTCAGGAATGTCATATGTTCAAGTAATAATAATACTTATTGGCCTACATTAAATCCTTGCATATTATATATTTTTGTTTATTGAGAGCCCAGTGATGCAAGTTCTTTAAACTTTGGCCCATATACAGCTTCTTGAATTGCTTAAGAAAAAAAAAAAATAGGCAAAGTTGCTGTGTATCCTGCTCTTATGTATTCTTTCTAGCTCCAAAGACCTCAATAAAACACCAGAATGAGACATATAAAAGCCAACCTTCATATATACGCCATTGGTAGTCTTCAGCAAGCTGTTTTCTTCAGTCTCTATGCCATATGCTATGTAGGGACTTGTTGTAATATCTCCCCAGTAACCTCGAGCACGTACCTTTCCACATCTCTAGGAATGACAGGGTGCATTTATACAAGGTAAAGTACTACAATTATCACATAGTTACATAGTATTTGGGGTTGAATAAAGACACAGGTCCATCAACTTTAACCTTTGTGTGTATGTCGGTACACAAGTGCCTATGTGGTCTTGTTTTTGAGAGTACCTGTAACCCTGTATGTTACGGTCACTGAGGAAGGTGTCTAAATGCTTTTTTAATAATTCAATACTCTCAGCTGATACCACTGCTTGTGGCGAGTTCCAGACTTTAACTGCTCTAAATGAAAAGAAGCCCCTACGCCCCTTGTGGTTAAATCTTTTCTCCACCAATTTTAGGTGGTGGCCTCTAGTCTTTGTTATGGAGTTTACTGTAAAAAGTTTATTGCTGATGTTGCCATCACCACTAAACATTTTGTACATCAAAATCATGTCCCCTCTTAATCGCCTCACTTTTAGCGTGAACAAGTTTAAATTTAAAAACTTGTCTCATAGCTTTGGTCCTTCAGTCCCTTAATTAGTTTTGCTGCCCTTCTCTGGACTCTCTGCAGCTCAAGGATATCCTTTCTGTAGATTGGTGACCAAAACAGGACCGCATATTTCAGATGAGGCCAAACCAGTGATCTATAAAGTGGCAAAATTATTGCTTTGTCTCTACAGTACATTTCATTTTCAATATTCTTCAATTGCCAATAGCCATAAACTGCTCACAATGTAAATGTGTTTAATGAGATATACACAGAAACTCATTTCTATCAAAACAATTACACCTAATAGTGTTTTTTTTGGAAGGAGGGTAATAACAAGCATTTGCCTCTGTACATATGACAAAGTACACATGACAAAGCATGATATAAACAGTACTGCCTATGCATTTCCAAAAGATCCTGGAGATGCATATACAGTGCATTCAGAAAGTATTGAGACCCCCTTAAATTTTTCTTATTTTGTTAGGTTGCAGCCTGATGCTACAGTTGTTTAAATTATTTTTGTTCTCATTAATCTACACTCAGTACCCCATAATGACCCCATAATGACAAAGTAAAAACTGAATTTTAGAAATGTCTGAATTTATTAAAAAGAAAAAACTGAAATAACACTGGAAATTTAGCTCAGGTGTCTCCCATTTCTCTTGATCGTTGTCGAAATGTTTCTACACCTTGATTGGAGTCCATCTGTGGTACATTAAATTGATTGGGCATGATTAGGAAAAGCACTCACCTCTCAATAGAAGGCCTCACAGCTGACAATGCATATTGTATTAGAGCAAAAGCTATGAAGTCAAAAGAAGCTGCCTCTAGAGCTCAGAGACAGCATTATTGCAAGGCACAGATCTGGGGAAGGCTACAAAAAAAAAGCCTGCTGCACTGAAGGTTCCCAAGAGCACAGTGGCCTCCATAATTCTCAAATTGAAAAAGTTTGGCACAACCAGGACTCTTCCAAGAGATGGTCACCCAGCCAAACTGAACAATCGGGGGAGAAGGGCCTTAGTTAGAGAGGTAACCAAGAACCTGATGGTCACTCTGTCCCATCTCCATACAGGATCTCAGGAGCTCAGTCAAAGTTTCAGAAGGACAACAATCACTGCAGCCCTCCACCGATCTTGCCTTTAGAGCAGAGTGGCTAGACGGAAGCCTCTCCTTAGAGCAAAACACATGAAAGTCCGCTTGGAATTTGCAAAAAAAAGCACATGAAGAGCTCAGACAGTAAGGAACAAGATTCGCTGGTCTGATGAAACCAAGATTGAACTGTTTGGCCTCAATTCTAAATGTTATGTCTGGAGGAAACCAGATACCACTCATCACCTGCCCAATACCATCCCAACAGTGAAGCATGGTGGTGGCAGCATCATGCTGTGGGGTGTATTTCAGCAGCAGGGACTTGGTAACTGGTCAGGGTAGAGGGAAAGCTGACTGGAGCAAAGTACAGAGATATCCTAAATGAAAACCTGTTCCACAACCCTCAGGAAGGTTCACCTTGCAACATGACAATGATCCTAAGCACACAGCCAGTAAAACACAGGATTGGCTTAGCAACAACTCTGGGAATGTCCTAGAGTGGCCCAGACAGAGCTCTGACTTGAACCCTATTGAACATCTCTGGGGAGACCTGAAAATGGCTGTCCATCGACAGTCCCCATCCAACCTGACAGAGCTTGAGAGGATTTGCAAAGAAGAATGGCAAAAAATCCCTCACTCCAGGTGTGCAAAGCTTGCAACGACATACCAAAAAAAGACTCAAGGCTGTATTTGCTGCCAAAGGTGCTGCAACAAAGTACTGAGCAAAGGGTCTGAATACTTGGTCAGTATGTCCAATATGGGGGACTTGTTTTACCCCTTCAGAAATAAAAAGCCCCTCTACTTGTGGAATTTTTTTTTTTGCCTTACCTATAAAATCCGTTACCTGGAGTACATCGCTGGACACAGAGTTCATTCTTGAATGAATGGGATATACAGCTACCCCTTCAGGTGACTGGACACTGGTAAAATCAAAGCTGTTAGGACAGCCCTGTATAATCACTCCTACACGCAGCCAGCCTCAGTTTTGTAGCAAGCACTATCACAGAAATGAAGAGGGTCCCGTGTCCTGTGAAGTAGGACTGAGCCTTGGGGGACCCCTACAGAAAGAGGAAGAGGAGGGGAGGAGTTAGAATTGTAGGTGACACTGAAGGAGCGCGTAGATAAGTAGGATGAGAACCATGAGAGAGCAGAGTCTTGTAGGCCAAGCGAGTGGATTTTTTTTGAGGAGCAGCGGGTGGTGAAATGAACATTAAAATGAACATTAAAAAATATAAAGATAGCGGGGGTCATCATCAGCATTTCTGTACTACAAGGAATTCAACAGCTCAATCAGGAAAGTTACAATCTATTTCAAAAAACAGATTGCTACAAAAAGTAAAAGAAACCCAAAGAAATTCTTCATATACTGTATATCAATAGTATAAAGGTAAGGATTATAGGTTGAACTCGACTGACGTGTTTTTTCAACCTGACTATGTAACTATGTAAGGACTGAATACATAGGCTTCATAAAGGATAAACAGGGGAAGTAAGTTACAACTGGCAGTTAGAATGCAGATGTAATAAAGACAAAGTCCACTTTTTGAGAAAAAAAAATCATAAATGAACATGTTTTCATAAAAGAAAAAATTTGCATTTTTTCTTTTTGCATTGCAGCCAGTAAAGCATTGCAACCGCGATCAGTCGATCGTGGGTGCAATGCTCTGGCTCCTGCAGACTTTTCCTCCCGTCCATGTCGCCGCACTTATTCCATTGAGAACTACAAGCCACTCTGCCACAGTGATGGATGGGACTTGTATTTTCTCAGTTCACAGATCCTATCAAAGGAGTGCTCCGTCATGCACAGCCACGCCAAATGAAAAAATGCAGCAGCAGCTGAACCTGTGTTTCAGGTAAGTGGGGAGGCCTATTGTGACCATATTTCATATTACGCCCTGAATATGGGTGTAACATGAAACATGGTCCAAAAGGTTTATAAATTGTACTACATGGGTAGTAAACTAGTTGTATGAATGGATCAAGAGGGTAGTAATAAATGGCTAATTTTCTGCATGGTCTAAGGTTCTGACCAGAGTACCCCAGGGATTGATCCTGGGACCAATTCTGTTTATCTTATTTATCAACGGTATAGAAGTTGGAATAAATAGCTCACTATCCATGTTTGAGAAACGAAATGACAGCAGCCTTATCCACCCAGAATGGGCGATTATTGTCTAGGAATTCTATGTACATTTGCCATTAATTACTCATAGGAAGAACAATCCAATTGACACCTTAGAAAACCTGCCTTGTGTCCCATCACTTTTGCTCTTCCTTGTGTTAAACAGCTTCCTCTGCAGGCTGCCTGTTTTTTTAAAAAGGTGGTTGGTATTTGCTCTTCTAAGTTTACAAAATAAATTTTTTAATAATGTATATTACAGGTATTTTTTCTATTTATACCCAGACTATGCTGTTTATTACTAACTTAATCAATCTGTTTCGGGTTACAAGCTTCTCGGTTTACAAAATATACAAGAGGATGGTCGTTCATAAAATGTACACACACACACAAACACACAGATACTGTATATAGGTTGAACTGTATAGACTCGTGTCTTTTTTTCAACCGTACAAACTATGGATAGATATGGATTAAAAAAACCAGGAGGTTACACCTTCAGAAAGTGTTTTCAGTAACAGCATCCACATGTCTATTGATTTATTTGGCAAGAGCAGAAGTTTATAGTGGAGAGCTTCCCCACAATTATATAAAAAAAAAAAAAAGGCTGCAGCACATTTTACAAAATATTTTTTTTCTTTATTCAACACTTTGTGCTATGTTATTAAAGGCTGCTCATATGAACTAAGACAAGTTTCTCTTTCATTAACATATTTTCTAAAGAACCCTAATTGTTGAGATAATCTAGTTGGTATGGGTGGTTTAAAACAGTTTCATGATACAGAGACTAAGCTTTCATTACTCACATGTGTCACAGTCATATGTGAAGCCAGGGTTTTATTCGGAACATCATAGATTACTTCACGTATGATAAATGCAACTCCTTTTTCTCTCCAACGTTCATAATCGATAGCATTAATCACTGCAGCCTAGAAGCACAAAAGTAACAAGGCATTAAAAAATTAAAACAGATGACACAACTTGTCAATGGCAAATTTTCATTTCAGTATTATGCAGTTAAGAAAGTGTTATTAGAAAATAATGTAAAGAAAGTATACACAATTCTTGCCAGAATATTTTTCAAACCATGAGGGCTCATTTACATTTTTCTGTTGCATCAATGTGCATTATATTGTGCGCTAAAGATTGTTGCATTAAGGCAGCCCACTGAAAATAATAGGTTGCCAAAGCACCAAAGATCCTAAAAATCGGATGCGTCACAAAATTTGCAATGCACTATGGCACGTTTTGGCGCTCTGCAGTGCACGTGTGTGGCAATGAATGGCAACATAACGTAGGAACACATGTAATACAGAAACAGAATTCTAAACAAACCTTTTTCTGCACAGCTAGCTAGTCCTTGAATCTGTGACCCTCAACAAGGAGTGAAATCAACACTGCCCATAGAAACAAAATGAGAGCAGCCTAATCCATCCAGATTGGGGGATTACAGTCTAGGAATTCTATGCACAACTGCAGGTAACTACTCTCAAAAAGAACAAACCAATTGACACCTTAGAAAACTGCCCTGTGCCCCATCACTTTTGTTCCTTCTTGTGTTAAACAGCCTCCTCTGCAGGCTGTGTTTTTTTTAAATAGGTGGTTGATATTTGCTTTTCTAGGTGTACAAATATGGTTTTTATTCTGTATAATAAAAGTATTTCTTCTAATTATACTCTCTATGCTGTCAATTAGTAATTTAATCTGTTTCAGGTTACAAGCAGACACTCCCTCAGCTAGAAGAAAATAAATAGTTTGATTTAAAAGAGAATTATATGGAGAGCTGAAGTCTGACAGTGAAGCTGTCACTTTGGCTCTTCAGAGCGAGAACTGAATGATCAAACACTGCTGATCGCTCAGTTCCCGATCCCATGTCAGTCATCTGGCTCTAAAGATCAATCAGGCAGCACGGTAGATCCCAACAATATTGTTGGGATCTTTTCCAGCTGCAGAGCTTTGCGCAGCCAGCATATAGTGGGCAATAGACCGCTATATGCTGAGTTATGGGTCACAGGAGGACATAGTAAATGTCTTCTTGTGACCTTAAAACGAAATATGGCCACAAAAGGTTCTCTTTTAACGGTAACCCCAAAATGATGACTTTTTAAAGGTTCTACTAATAACAGCTATAATATGCAGGCAAAGTAATAAACAAATAAAATATCAGTTTTAAAAAAACTAATCCACAACTATTATACACTGAGTGGCCAGATTATTATGACCACCCCATCAGTACTTCGTTGGGCCACCCTTTGCCTTCAATATTGCGGCGATTCTTCTTGGCATTGACTGTCCAGTTCTGTGAGATTTGATGATTATGGAACCAGCTGCCTGATGGCTCTTTCAACTTCGTCCCACAAATGCTCAATTGGATTCAGATCTGGTGATTGTGGGGGCCACCTAAGCAAGCTAAATTCTCCCTCATGTTCTTGAAACCACTCCTGCACAATACGAGCACCGTGGCATGGTGCATTGTCTTGTGGGAAGAAGCCATCTCCATTGGGATACGCCATCAACATGGTAGGATGAACTTGATCAGCAACGATACTTTGGTATGTTGTGCTATTAAGACGTTGTTCCACATGAATTAAAGGGCACAAATCATGCCAGGAAAACATGCCCCAAGCCATAATACTGCCCCCACCAGCTAGAAGGGTTGTATTCATGCATGTGGGGTGCATGCTTTCATGCTGTTCCCGACAAATTCTCACTCTGCCATCTGCATGATGCAACTGTAAACGTGATTCATCGGACCACATTACTTTTTTCCAATGCTCGACTGTCCAATCCTTGTGTTCCTGTGCGAATTGGAGACGTTTTATCTTGTTAACTGCAGACAGCAAAGGTGTTCAAACAGGCCTTTGGCTTCCATATCCCCTACCATGCAGTATACGGCGAACAGTGCGTTCAGAGATCATTTGAGAGGATCCCTGATTAAGATCGGCAGTAATTTGATGCACTGTTCCCTTCTGTTGTCTTGTACCAGTTTTGCCACTCTCCGTTCTGCCCTAACATTGACTAGTCGCTGACGGCCACAATTCACACGTTCAGACCTAGATTTTCGGCTGACAGTCCAGTCTTTAAACACTTTAACAATAGCTACTCTTGAACATTTAACAAATTCTGCTGTTTTGCTGATACTCGCTCCATGGCTCTGAGCGGCAACAATCATCCCACGTTCAAAGGCTGTTAAAACGCGTTGTTTACCCATATCTTCAGAAAAAAATCACTTCTACTGTCGTGGTAAACAACCTGCTTCCCTATTTATGATGGTCTGGCTCTCTAGCAACTTCAGCGCGAAATTATAGCTAATATGCCTACAAACGTCAGGTGGTCATAATAATCTGGCCACTCAGTGTAAGTTCCCTTTAAAAATGAACTCTGGGCACAGCTTTGAGCACACAATTATGTAAAACATCCTTCATTTAGTACTTTGTAAGCATAACTGAAGCCTCTACATTTATACATTATTGACTATTGATGTTCTGTTTGTTTTACATTTATCAAGATGTCTCACAGGATTCTTATGCTCTGTTTCAACTGAGAGCAGTAACATAGTAGAAATTGATAGAGGTCCTGAAACACCTTCTGCAGGGCCAATGCAAGGATTTTTGCCTACACAGGCGAAGGAGCCTAACAAACCAACCCCCCGGCAGCCTTATGGTAGAGCTAACCCTGCATAGACATCCCATAAAGCAGTACTCCAAAACTAACAGGAGATCTGTGTTATCCATGTTTCAGGTCAAACCAATTATCTCAGAAGCATTTACAAAAAAGGAAGACCATCAGCTACTAGTCCCCTATATGTGAAGCCACCAGCAATGAAACCCCAAATAGTTTACTGTGGAGTACCCCAATACAAAGACACCCCAAAGTCCATCACTCCAAAAGGCAACCAAGATGTCCACGTTACATAGTTACATATTTGAGGTTGAATAAAGACTTAAGTCCATCAAGTCCAACCTATTGCGTGTATGCATTTATGATTGAGCTGGTGTGTGCGTGTGTATGAGTCCATGTGTGATTTTGCTCTTAGCAGTACCTGTACCCCTGAATGTTATGGTCTCCAAGGAAAATGTCTAAGTGTTTCTTGAATAATTCCACACTCTTTGCTGAAATCACTGACTGTGGCAGTGAGTTCCAGACCTTAACCGCTCTAACTGAGAAGAACCCCTTGCGCTGAAATTTTTTCTCCACCAATTTTAGGTGGTGGCCTCTAGTCTTTGTTATGAGATTAATCGTAAAGAGTTTGCTAATAATGTTGCCTTTACCATTGAACATTTTATACAAGAAAATCATGTCCCCCCTTAATCTCCTTACTTCCAAAGAGAACAGATTTAATTTTAACAGTCTTCTTTCATAGCTCTGGTCCTCCAACCCCTTGATGAGTTTGGTTGCCCTCTGCTGGACTTTTTCCAGCTCAAGGACATCTTTTCTGAGGACTGGTGACCAAAACTGGACCAGATACTCTAGATGAGGCCACACTAGTGCTTTGTAGAGTGGCACAATTATAGACTTGTACCTGCAATACATTCCTTTCTTAATACAAGACAGGACTCTACTTGCTTTGTTTACAGCCGCCTGGCACTGCAAGCTATTCTTCAATCTGTGGTCTACAATGAGCCCCAAATCTTTCTCCATTACTGACTTACCTAGTTGCATACCCATAAGTGTATAGCCCATTTGCGTTTTTTAACTCCAAAGTCCATTACTTTGCATTTATCTACATTAAACCGCATCTGCCATACATTTGCCCACTCCCCAATTTTATCCAGGTCCTCCTGTAATGTTACAATGTCTAAATCCGTATCTATTACCTTCCCAATTTTGGTATCATCAGCAAACACAAACATGGCTATTCAATCCCTCCCCGATATCATTAATGAACAGGTTGAATAGCATAGGGCCTAGCACAGAACCCTGAGGCACACCACTCGTGACCTCAGCCTAGTCTGAAAAGGTTCCATTAACCGATACTCTTTGTACGCGTTACTGTAGCCAGTTTTCTATCCACGTGCACAGTCTTTCATCTATGCCCATAGCCCTTAGCTTGTATAACAAGCGTTTATGTGGCACCGTATCAAATGCTTTGGAAAAATACACTACATCCACCGGCCTCCCTCCATCCAGAGTTGCAGCTCACACTGAACATATCCAGCATTTGGGAAAAGAATGACAATCATCTATTGAACCCCTATATGTAAAGCCAAAAGGCATCGACACCTCCAAATCCATTACCATGGACCACCCCCAAAACAAGGGCACTCTCTCATAGATCTTCACTAAAGAAAGCATAATGAACAGCAGATAACAAGTGACCTTAAACTGATGTTTAACTGCTTCAGGACCGCCTAATGTAGATAAACTGTGGCATCCTGAAGCAGTCTTACCAAGATCACGACTGCTGCAGCCGTTTAAAAATAGCTGGCAATGGCTGTTTCATATACAAGCGATCCGGTGGCTACACAGCAGGGGCTGACTGGCAACTTTTAGCCCAGGGGGCAAGTACAACCCAGAGGCCCAGGGTGCAGCAACTTGGCCCCCCTCCCGCTCTGCCTCTTCCCCGCCTTCTCCCCGCCCCTGTCTGCCACTTTTTCCATCCATGTAACAGTAGTGAATGGTCGGCTGATGTGAGGACTCCTAGTAAGTTCATGAAAGGGTTGATTGGCTGGGGGATGGTGCTCTCCTCCCACTGGGCTCCCTACATGGTTCTGGCCTTACTCCGCTCCATGTCTGGTACTTAGGCACTCTCACCCACTGTAGACCGCCGCTGGCTGTCCATGCTTCTGGGCTGTGAGCTGTGGGAGGAGAGGAGCGAGGTTAGTGGGAGGGGCCGGACAGTGTCAGCATTGTATAATTTTTCTCGATCCTATACATTTTCTCGACTGTGTCACTTCCAGTGGGGCTGAGTCATCCGAATCAGCTGTTT